AGAGAGAGAGAGAGAGAGAGAGAGAGAGAAAGCAAGCTGCCAGGTCTAGGACTCAAACCATGGTCGGCTATATGGGAATCCAGCACCCTTAACCACGCCACCTGCAGGCCCCTAATTTTTAACTTAAAATAAAACCAAACATTGTAATACAACTTAAAATTGGAATGTAATTAAAATATCTTTCAACATGCTCTCACAAAGAATTATTATACCGCTGCATGTGAAAACCATTAGACACGTTTCCCAGTGCTAGGAATGTGACTGCTAGTGACAGTGACCAGTGATTGCTACACGGGCAACTGTCTGCAGAAACATGAATAGAAAGAAGTTCATGCTAAAAATTGAAATCCATGTAGTTTTTTTCATAAGCTGCATTTTCCACAGACGTTTGAAAGACTCCGCATGTATGATCAAGACAAGTTTTACAGTGTGACTTAGATGAAACAGCACGAAATGCTTCACAGGCATCATGTGTAAAATACAATCAACAAAAGATTTATGCTGTGTTTTCGGTTTTCAGATAAACTGTGGGGGAAAAACCCGAAAACCTACTTCATTTAAAATTCTACTGCGTGACCACACAATGGAAGGTTATTTGATAATAAAACGGGATAAAGCACTGATACACGCGAAAACGTGAATGAGTACCAAGAACAGTGTGCTGGGTGAAAGAAGGCAGCTGGACAAGTAGAGCTACAGACAGAAGGAGCTGCACCTGCTGAGGCAGCAGGTGGGAACGCGGAGTGACTAAGGATCTGGGTCTCCTCGCTGGGGAGGTGGAAATGCTCTGTCGGTACATCAGACGGTGGCGATGGCTGCACGGATCCGTGACTACCCTAGATACCACTCACTTTAAAAGGTGAATTTGGTAGTACATAAATTATATCTCGAAAAGCTATTTTGGGACCAGCAGATGGTATAATGGTTACATAGCTGAACTCCCACATAGTAGACCGTGGTTTGAGTCCCAGACCTAGCGTCTTAAAACACACCAGACACGTGTGCATGGGTGCCCAAAATCCCAAGAGGAAAATGGAGAAGGGATTGCAACAGCCATGCCATCCTTCCTGGCGGGGATGTCTCACTTTCTGTCTCTTTCCAGCAAATGCACCTGTTCTATGGCACAAACCTGAAAAAAAAAAAAAAAAAAAAAAGAAAGGGCAAGCATGATGCTGGCATGAGTTGTGGTTCCAGCTACTCAGGAGGCTGAGGCATGAGGATCGGTGTATAGCATAATCCTGTCTTTTAAAAAAAGCTTCTTTTTCAACCTAAACTGGCAAATTTCTGGTAGTTAATATAAACAAAATCAGTCTTTCCAGGACTAAAGGAGGAGACTGCCTAGTGGGTATCAGACCAGATTAGGTTAATTAATAAAACTAAATTTGAATACTCCCTTTAAAATACAGATGAGGCACAAATTGTGCTTTCATTTGTATCTCGTAAAAAAGCTGAAATTAGCAAGTTTCCATAAAGTAATTAAATGTGAAACTCTCTATATAATCTCCGAAGAAGGCTCTCCTAAGAGGAGAGGACTAAGGAGCTCGACTCTCACATGGTATACGTTCTTAGAGCACTCTGGGGGCCCAGACGCGGGCACGAGTGGCTCTCTTTAAAAGGCATGGGCTCCCTGGAAATGCAGTGTCCTTTTCTTTCCCACACACAGACCACAGGTGATCAGGGCAGCACATCTCAGAGGCTACTGGCCCCACCCCCTCCTTACACAAGAGAGGAACGAGGACAGTCTCTCCCACTCCCTATGACTGGTGAATTCGATGGTTTTTCCTCTAATATAAAGTAAGGGAGAGGTTACGGAACTAAACTGGAGACCATGCGCTGATCTGGAACGCAGCACTGAAAGCACTACTATGTCACAGTGTTGCTGTCATGAGGCTACGTAAGAGACACTCGGAGAGCTGCTCGTCACAGCAGCCTGCACTGAAGTAGACACTCAGCACTGGTGCTTTCTTACTTCTCCCCCATGCCTCCTCGCTCCCCGCCTTACGTCAGCACGACACTGACGGCAGAGCAGCTCGGGTCGGCTGGCAATCCACACTGAGGCAGGTTCCTGGCACAAGAGTCGTGGAGAGGGCTGATCCCGTTACAAAGCTGGCTCGTCAGATTAAAGGAGATGCTTTTCTCCTTGCAACAGTGAACAGGGCTCTCTGGGCTCGGACCTACTTGGCGGCGATATGGCTAAACGCACCAACAAGGTTGGCATCGTCGGTAAATACGGGACCCGCTATAGTGCCTCCCTCCGGAATATGGTGAAGAAAACTGAAATCAGCCAGCACGCCAAGTACACTTGCTCCTTCTGTGGCAAAACTGAGATGAAGAGACGGCCTGTGGGGATCTGGCCCTGTGGGTTCTGCATGAACGTGGTAGCTGGTGGTGCCTGGATCTACACCACTTCGGCTGTCGCAGTGAAGTCTGCTATCAGAAGCCTGAGGGAACTGAAAAACCAGTAGAAGCTCCACAGACATTTGGAATATCAGTAGCCTACAATAACTGGGTTAATTTATGTAACAACAACAACAACAAAAAAAAACAGTGAACAGGGACCAAGACAGAACTGTAGGGTGAAAGAAAAATAAATAAACGCAGGGACCAGCAGATGGCATAATGGTTACATTGCTGGACTCCCACATCGACCGCAGTTCAAGTCCTGGACCCGGCGACTTAAAACTCACACTGGGTGCATGTGCATTGTGTGCCCAAAATCCCGAGAGGAGAAAGGAAGAGAAGAGATTGCGGTGTGGCTACTCCCCCTGGGGGGTGATTTCTTGCTTTCTGTCTCTTTCTCTCTCTCTCTTTCTGGCCAGTGCACTCACCCTACAGCAAAAATCTCTAAAAATAAGTAAATAAAAAATAAAATAGGTGCGAAGCTGTCAGAGACAACAAGTAATCCAGCACAAGACCAGAGTGAGCTCACAGGGCGGATATCCAGAAATAAGAGCCCCGCTCAGACCTTTCCCGCCACTGAGCAAGGCCCTGCCCAGATGCTGACTGTCCGGGGTCTCAACCATGTGTTTTGGTCACACCACAAACCATGTGTTTTGGTCACCCTCCCCCAAAGGAATAAAGTCAGGACATCTTTCCTTAATTTTTTTTTTAACATGCCTAAGATAAGATTCTGTTACATAGTCAAATTCAAGCAATACTACTATGTCGTATCAAATTTATAGAGGGGAGTTGATGCTAAAATAAAAATGTTCAAAGAAGGCTTGGGCCGAACACCTATTAAGTTCATATAAGACATCACTTATCCATATGCTATAAAAGATATAAAAGGCCAGTCAGATCAGGGTCTTTTAAAAGAAGGGAATATGAAAGAAATGATGAACACAGATGTGTATTCTTATATCCACATACGACATTTAACATTTGTTCCCCACCTCTTAGCTAACATGCCTTCTCTTACCTCTTGTGTTAATTTTGGTATGAACCTCAAGCTGGGGATCACTGGACACCATGCAAGGCCACCAAGGGTAGGTCCCCACCTTGGACCAAACCAGATCGCCAACCTGGAATTTCACACCAGGGGATACTTCTGGCGTTGGAGCAGAAGACAGGATCGGCGGAACCTACAGGGAAGGTCATCAAATATCAGAAGAGAAATTTTAAAAAGGAAACTATATACGAAGTACATTAAAAATCTAACAATATAAAGTGTATCTTCCACTGTGGTTTTCTTTGATACCTGCTATCTGTAACTTGGAAAAGAGAAGGAAACAGAAAAAAAAAAAAAAAAAAAGAATAAGCCCCACCCTAAGCTCTGAATACAGGACGTAGGGTTTCTGTTACCAAATTACTGATACTGATGACTTTTATTTTTGGAAGGAGAAGGTTTGTGCATGCATAGGAGAGAGCGAGCAAGAAAGAGAAAGAGAAGCATTCTTAACAGGGTCTCCTTAGGTCACAATCCTTTTTTCCCAGCATTCCAGTTCCTCAGGATCTTGGCTGCCCATCTGTGGCCACTGTTTCCAGACGGACCCCCAGAGTCAGCCACGTGGCTTCCAACGCTGCAGTCCAGCATACTACAGGTTGTGCCAAGGGGCTGGGTCAGTAGGAGGCATCTCGGGAATCCACGTGATCAATGGTAATAATAAAAAGTTACAGCTTTGAAAAAGAAAGTAATTCACTGAGAATACCTACCTCTAAAACCAGCTCTAAGATGAGTTTCAGCATAATTTCGGAAATACAAAGGTACGGAGGCCCAGCCATGGTAGTACAGGCATTGGGACACTGCTGACCAGTACTGCAGCCATGTAGGCAGCCCCGGGGATGGGCCCCAGGTCGACATGAACATGCCTGCCTATGATCCTGGCTGCCAGGAGGCTGGGGAGAAGACAGCAGTGTGGCCAGACCCTGTCGAGGGTACCTCACCTGCCTTCAACCCCCATGAAAGAAACATGCAAACAGACTTTAAACAAAAGTGGGGACTGCTAGCCAGCCCATGACTTGGTGGTAAGGAGGCTGTATCTTACATGGCCTACCGCACCGCACGGCTCGAGTCCTGGACATGATGGCTTGACGCACACAATGCAACGTGTGTATGTGCGAGCACATGCGTGCACATCCAAAATCCCAAGAGAAGGGAGAGATGGAGAAGTGACTGAGGCATGGCCATTCCCCATGGGGGGGCTTTCTCACTTCCTCTCTCCCTCTCTGTTTCTCTCTGGAGAATGCATACACTCTCTACCAAAATTTTTAAAAATAAACAAATTAAATAATAAGTTATTAAATAAATTATTTTCTAACTCATTACAAAACATGTACACCCACCAGAGAGAGACAGAGAGAGAAGGAAAGTGAGAAAGCAAGCTGCCAGGTCTGGGACTCAAACCGTAGCTGACCATATGGGACTCCAGTGCCTTAACCATCATGCCACCTGCTGGCCCCCAATTTTTATTGTTTAAACACCTTATAATACAATGTACTCCAATTTTAATTACTCTGCTTTCACCCCCTTATATCACATTTGGTTAGACAATATTGAATAAAGCAACTCACTGGCGCTTCTTCTTTCAGTACTGGCTCCTCTCTGGGTTTTTCTGATGCACTGTCAACCCTCTCATTTGGTCTCTAGGTGAAAAGGCATACAGGTGAATAGAATAAAACAGCAGTAAACTGGAAAACAGTGATGTGTGGAAGAAGACTCAAAGAAACTTAGGCCAAGGAAAAACATGGGATGCTCGTTGCTAAGACACTATGCCGCAGGCTGGGACCGGCCACCATATGGAGACTTGGGTGTGATCTCTAGTCCAATCTAAAATGACCAGGGCCAGCGCCTGGGGTGACAAATTGCACCTGTAACCCCAGCTGTGTGGGGAAGCTGAAGCAGGTGGACCAGGAAATGGCAAGCTCTTGTCTTAAGGAAAAAAAATTCAGAGAAAATTGAATAGCAAAGTGAATAAAGGACATTCAATAACTGGACAATAAACGGCATTTATCAACTGAACAATGTAAAGAGTAGTAATACAACTTATTCAGAGCATGATGCTCTATCTTAGCATTCATTTTCCATTCCAAAGCAAGGATATATACCTATTCTGATTTCATTCCTTTTAAAACTTAATTTCTATGAAGCTGGTATTATATATTTTTAACCAATCAGATTGCAGGAAAAAATGGGCACTTGGAGATTACTAGTAAGATGTTAACTTGGAACTTTTCTGGAGAGCAACGTTGACCATGTACGAAAAGCCTTGCATTTTCACGTTCAGCAAATGTGCCTTTAAGGATGCACACGAAAAGCACTAAGAGTAAAAAGCATGGGCACTCCTCACCACTGGCGGGGTTCCGATACTGCGACGAGGCTGTCAAGTGACCTGGTAGGTAAGCAAGGGGCTGAAAGGAGGACGCCTTGTGGTGTGTCCTGGAGCCACAGGGCGTGTGTCTGTCAATAGACAGCATGCGACACCACACCAGAATGCGGTCCACGTAAAAAGCACACATTAAATAAGGACCAGAAAGCAACAAGATGTACCACAACACAATAACAGAAATCCAGTGTAACAATTTTTATTTATTCTGAATGAAAAGATCTAAAGAAAACTCCAACTTGATCGTTTTAATTTGCATCTTTCATATTACAGAACATTAAAAAAAACCCAGCAAAAACGTTAAGTTTATTCATAAAAAAGACATTCGGATGAATTTTTCAGTCCTCAGTGTCATCCTGGGAGTGATCAGGCGCTACGGAGAGCCAAGGTAAGGGAGTCGGTGACAAACGTACTTCTAGGGGCGGGGTCCTGGGTGTAGCTTTCGAGAAGAATCTTGCTATTGTGGTCTGCTGTGTAAGTTCCTTTTGGCCTTCATAAAGTTCACAGCAGCACCGGGAACTTCGTCAGTTGCTGTTCACCTTTGTGAGCCACTCCACATTGGCTCCACATGGTCGAGTTCCGAGAGCTGCACTTCCGTCCGAGGACACACCACCTGGGCCTTTGACGGTCACTTTCTCTTGTATCTCCTCCATGCTCTCCTTCCCCTCTTCCAAGTGCTGCTGTACTCCCGACTCTATGAAATCTTTTCAGCTAGCGCTCCCTCGGCATAGTCCACGAATTCTCCAGTATCTTCCACCTCGACATCTAAATGAAGCACATCGGCCAGAGCCACAGTTGTTTCATGTACGACCTCAATATGCTCCTCTCCTCTCAAACAATCAAAATCATTCACAAAACATTTTAAGCCTTTTCCCCATAGGCCTTGCATATGTTCCTGTCACCTCTGCCCAAGCCAATTCAATGTTCTGTATGCAGTATATGTAAAATGTATGATTCCCAGAAATCACAAAGGGTTACTACACCAATTTCTGTCGCTGCTACAGCTTTGGAAAAAGCCGTGTGGAATTAGTATGCCCTGCCCGCGGCTATGGCCCGGGGTCACAGGCTACAGAACGGCAGTGGCGTTTTTGGGTGATACCCCACCTTTGCACGTGGGTGTAGATCGCCGAGACACTGGGGTGGTTGGAGCGCGCCGAGCAGCAGCAGTTTGAAAGGGAATGCCTTTTCCAGACAATAATGCTTCACCCAGGTGAGAAGCCCTTGATGAAGCAGCCCTCAAATGACGCTGGCGTCACCCGTGCCTCGTTATCTGAGTGCAGTAAGCGGGCAGGGTGCACTCACTGACCTACTCCCGTCACGCAGGCTCCCGAGCGACAGGCGAGGAAGGGTTTTAGCTTCTTTGTGTATAGGACTTTTCATTTCTCCCAGTTTCATCCAGCCTGAAGATCTGTCCTAGGCGGTAGCTGCCCTTCTTGATAATTTTATTGAATTAGTCAACAAATCTCCCACTGCTGCTTCGCCGGCGCGTGCCGCCTAGCCGCTGACACTGCAGGCTGAGTCCTCGAGGAAGCGGCTGGGACTCCTCACGGCTTGCCACCACCCTTCCCTTCCGCATGCCTTCCCTGTGCGGAAGATCCTGTGTATGCTGGCTTGAACCAGTAACAGGCTGGTCGGCATGCCGTCTTGTACCTGCCTGGCTTTAAATCCGACCAAGGCTCTACCCTCTAACTCTCTCTCTCAAGATCATGGAAATGGTTGAATGTGTCAGCACCATGTCACATGCTAACGTTTTTACAGCTTCATATTCTTTTATGATCATCATTTCTTCCCCTATTTAAAAAAAATTAATTTTATTATTACTTTTTAGAGGTTTTTGCCTTAGGGCTCGTGTGCTTGCCAGAAGAGAGAAAGAGATAGAGATGGTGAAGGGAAAGTGAGAAATCACCCCCCAGGGCGGATGGCCATGCCACAATCGCTCCACCATTCTCCTATGGGGATCTTGAACACTCATACGCATGCGCCCAGTGTGATTTTTCAAACCACCAGATTAGGGATTCAAACCGTGGCTAGCCATGTGGGAGTCCGGACCCTTGACCACCAGGCCACTTGCTGGCCCCATGATCTCAGTTTTATCTCAAGATCAATGGCCTTCCTTCGAATCTTGGCACTTACTCCAGGTGAAGTAAGTAAAAGGAAGTAAATTAAAAGAAGAGTTCTTCCTTTTGCAGACGTCGTGTACTGTGGGTGCACACTAAGTACAGGTTTATAGATGAAATATGTAGTCTTCGTGACTGTTAGCACATCACGCAGCGAAACTAACCGACTGCAGGACTGAGACAGACTGCAAGGGCGTTCTGGAGACTCACCCATGCTGAGTGAGAAAGTGGGTTCTCTGCTAGAGAGCTGTTTAAGTCAGACTGGTCACTAAGCAGGTAGGTCAGTGAGTGAGGAGTGGCTGTACATGTTAGTACAGGCGTGCGTATCACTGCTCAGAGGGAAGGTTCAGGAACAATCCAGATGTCCAAAAAGGACAATCAGTTAAATAAATTATAGTGTAACTAAGGAGAACAGCATAAACAGATTTTAAAATAACACTAATTTTAAAGTTACTTGAAAACAGCAAATTGTAAAGCAGTTTGAATAGGATGATCCGCATGTGCTCGCCAGACAGACGGAGAGACAGAGAGAGAGAAATCACTCCCCAGGGGGGATGGCCACGCTGCAATCCCTCTCCTTCATTCTCCTCTCGGGATCTTGGACATGCACGCACATGCACCTGGTGTGAGTTTAAGCCACGTCCGGGATGCGAACTGCGGTCGACTACATGGGAGTCCAGCGACATAGAAACAGCAAATTGTAAAGCAGTTTGAATAGGATGATCCGCATGTGCTCGCCAGACAGACGGAGAGACAGAGAGAGAGAAATCACTCCCCAGGGGGGATGGCCACGCTGCAATCCCTCTCCTTCATTCTCCTCTCGGGATCTTGGACATGCACGCACATGCACCTGGTGTGAGTTTAAGCCACGTCCGGGATGCGAACTGCGGTCGACTACATGGGAGTCCAGCGACATAGCCATTACACTAACTGCTGGTCCCAACATAAGTATTTTACACTTGTCTATAGTAAGCATTATTCTCCTAATTATAAACCCAAGTATATTATTTAAAACCTTTTTCTATAACCCTTTAAGGAAGCAATGTGGGAGTATCTATATACACTCAAAATATGCGTACTTTCAACCTAGCCATTTATTTTAGGGACTCACGCTATGGGAATATGCAATACGGGAAAATCTCAGCAGAGGGATGGTAACCTCCATAGCACTAAATGTCAGTAATCAACCATCTGTCAACGTCTTCCAACTTCTTAAGTCTATATATGCCTGGAAAATATCTGGTATAATGTAAACCTAATTGATGATAGTAACTATCTTTAGGCAGTAAGATTGGGAAAATAGTGAAGGATGACCTATGCTTTGGAATTATCTGTATTTTCTACAAAAATTAGATTACTTTTATAATTTTAAAGATTTTCTTTAAAAAAAAGTTTATTTCCTCTTGAGAGCCAGCAGGTGGCATGGTGGTTAAGGGCACTGGACTCCCACTCAGCTGCTGACCACAGTTTGAGTCCTGGACCTAGCAGGTTGCTTTCTCGCTCTTGGTCTCTCACTGTCAAATTTAAAAAATAGTAAGTAAATAAAAAAATAAAGTTAAATAAGATAATTCTTTAAAAAAAAAAAAAGGTTTATTTATTCCATGGCTGAGAGAGTCAAAGAGAGTGACAGTACAGCATCCTCCACAGGGTCCCGCTGCCGCAGTGCACTCCAGCCTCAGCCAGCCTGGATCATGGGCACCTGTGTGCCCCACACACCCAGAGAGGGTTCCCAATGCAGACCAGCAACCTCACGTGAGTCTGCCTTGCAGAGGGCTGCCTTTTACTGCAGCACTGTCTGGCCCTCCGTCTAGATTTTTAAGATGTCTCACTTGTCAGAGAACAGAAACTTAACTTCGATGGCTTAAAAGGAGTGCATACCCAATACCCACTAAGTCAGGCCTTAATTCTACTGAAATAATCCAGACTGGCTGATTTGGGTGGACTGTGACATGAAGACCCTGCTGTGGGGTTTAGCTCAGAAGGGTAAATAAGAAAAATGATCATTTGGGGCCAGCAGGTGGCCTGGTGGTTAAGGGCACTGGACTCTCACATGGCCCACCATGGTTTGAGTCCCGAACCTGGCGGCTTGCTTTCTCACTTTCTCTCTCTGGTCAAATTAAAATAAAGTTAAATAAAATAATTC